ACAGGGGCTTCGTTCCTTATTTATCGTTCCTGAGGTCAGGCCGATGACTGTACCCCCTGGCGGCGCCTCCAGCGCTGCCCCTGGCGCGCTTCTGGAGTCAGCACGGGCCCTGGAGCTCCACACGGACACCCGAAAGCGTGTGCTTATGACTGCTTACGTTTTTCGATTTCATCCCTGCTTCTGCTGCTGCTCCTTCGTCTCCTAGGTCACCAGGGGCGCCGAAATGGAGGGAGCTCGCGGGTGGGGGGGGTGGGGGGGGGGCATTCTTCGGGTGGGGCTAGGACGGCAGTAAATCCGTTCCAGAGGGTTCCGGAACGCTCTCAGAGCTTTCCGGAACGCTCTGACAAGGCCGCGGCGCCCAAGACATCCTCCAGAGCCGCCAGATCTCGGAGATTCTAGATTTTTACTCACCCGATTTTGTCCTCGTCCTGGCCTCGTCGCAGCGGGGGCATCGACCACGCACCTTTCGTCGCGCCGCGTCCCTGGCGGACGAGTGCGGGCAGCCCTCGAGGATCGAGGCTCGAGGATCGAGGCTCGAGGCTTGAGTCTCGAGGCTCGAGGCTCTAGGATCGAGGATCGAGGATTGAGGATCGAGGCTCGAGGCTCCAGGATCGAGGCTCCAGGATCGAGGCTCGAGGATCGAGGCTCGAGGCTCGAGGCTCGAAGCTCGAGGATGCGGACGGCGTCCGTCCGCCCTCTCGCACATCGTGCGCCCACATATCGCAGGCTTGTCCAGCTTCTCGCGAGCGGGGGGCCCCTCGCCAGTCCATCGGCGGTGCATCACCGACCCCAGGACTCGCGGCGCGCCAACGGGGGAAGTTCGACCTGCTCTGGCGTTCTCGTCGGCCCTCGGAGGTCTCCCCGCCTCGGGGTGCTCTCCAGCAGCCGCGCCTCGCCGAGAGCGTGCCCGGGGGTCCCCGGATCGCGTGCCAGACGGCCGCGGGAGGCCCGATTTGCAGGTGGAGGCCCATGCCAAGAAACACCTTGCTTGCCTCCAGGGTGCCCTGGGCTTGGCATCGCTCGGACGTGTGCTTTTTTTCCTTCGGCGAGGACCATCGAGGAGCATCCTTGATCATTTGGCGGAAAAACACACACACAAAACCGAAACAAAACACAGGGAATGGACGTTCGAGCGATGGCCAGTGGGTTTCTTGGGAGTCGATGGTTTTGCGGTGGGAGGCGCGACGCTCCCACGCCAAAAGTCGATGGACGCACTGGGCTCTCAGGGCTGGGTTTCTCGTGGAAGGCTTCTCGTGGTCGGACTCCGCTCAGAAGGCTTCTCGGAGCCTTCTGCGAAGGCCCGCCCTCTTCTGCCTTGCCCCTTGGGCGCGCCGCCGATCCTCTGTCGGGGGAGGCAGACAGGTGGGGCCTGGGCAGAGATGGGGCCAGGGGAGAGTCACTCCGAACGGCCCCTGAGAGAAGGGAAGGTGGGCGTCCAGCTGGGCTCGTTCTCTAACTCCAAGTTGGGATGCGGTCGAAATCGATGGTGAGGATGGGTAACCTTCCCGAGGGTATAACTGCATCTGAAATCTGTGCCCCTGTGAGCCATCCTTTACTACCTTCGGTGGCCCGCCGCGCTCCAAGGAGCTTCAGCGCGGGCGTCCAAGGGGCTTGCATCCTTCTCGCGCATCCTCACTGCCAGTTTTGACGGTAACTCCGACTTGGGATACCCCCCCTCTGCCCTCCCCTTCGGGCACGCAGCCGAAGGCCCGTGCTGTCTCCCACTGGCCATCTCTCATTCGGCTCCTCGGAGTCACCCCCAGGCGCGCAAAGGTAAACGCTCTGCGTGCACGGCGGCTTGGGTTGGAGAGGCGCCCTTCTCCAGGGCGGCGCGAGGGCGCGAAGATAGCCGCGCATCGCGGAGCGCGGGTCGCGAAGTCAAGCGAGCGACGCAAAATAACGGGGTCGTCCGAGCCGACACTGGCTCGCAAGCTGCCCGCGTAAGGTCGCGCGTGAGCGCACTCGTCCCGAATGTAGCGTGCCGCGCTGGCGGCCCGCGTAAGCCGCCGCATAAGGTCGCTATGCCATCTCGCGTAAGACCTCTCTTCTCGTCACTCAGGTGATGCAGGCTCCTCGCACCACGTGGGCGGTGAGGACAACCGCGTGTCCCGCCCTGCGCGGCCTCGGCCGGACGCCAGCCCTCTTGTCCGTGGAGATGGCGCGGAGGGCGCGTGGAGATGGCTGCGGGCGCCCCCAGACGGTGTGGTGATCACACCGCGTGGTGAGTCGGGTGTCGACCAAGACGATGTTTTGGCACTCTCGTGGATCGTTTTCATTTTCTCTTCATTTCGGTTTTGTTTTCATTCTACAACCCACCATTGGCCAATCACAGCTTCGGATTTGCGCCAAAACGCTGTCTTGGACAATCGGACGGCCCGTTTTCGCTCTAAAACGTATCAGAACGAAAACGAAACGAAAACGCAAAACGCTGTTTTGGTCGACCCCTGTGAGTCCGTGGGGTTTGGGGGGTCACCGCGCGTTCTTGGGACTCGGGTCGTTCTCGGAGGACTTCTCGGGCGACCGGGGGCTTCAGGGCCCCAAGACATCAGCCCCGCGACTCATGCCTGAACCCCCCAACCCCCTGGCCAGATTTCTTTTCTTCTTTCCGCGGGGGGTCAACCTTCGCGGCGACCCGTTAAACGCGGGACCCCTGGCGACGCATGGATTTCTTTCTTTCTTCCGCGCGCGAGTTGCCATTGGAGCCCCCTGAACCCCTTCGACTACCGTACAACTGGTACTTGAGTGCGACTGCTATTATCGTGTACTAGCGCGCAGTTGCTCCTAGAGAGCACATTCTCTTGCCATGCAAGTATTAGAGTGCAACTGGTATCATACTAATGTACAACTGGTAGAACTGTGCGCCCTAGTACAACTCCTTTTTCAACTCCGTGGTACGTCCAACTCCCTAGTACAACTCCCAGTAGGACTCCCTGGAACTCCCTAATGCAGCCACTATTAGAGTGTTGCTGCATTGCACTTGCAATCTGGGCTCTCACGCTTTTCCTCTGGTTAGGCTTGGGGGGGTGGGGCCCCTCGCGCGGGCATCCCCGCGGCTGAGAATTCCTTCCTCTTTCCAGAATTTGAGGCGGGGGTAACCCCCGTACTCGAACCCCTCGCCAGGGATTTTTCCTTTTCTCCGCGGAAACCGGACCCCCTGGGTTCCTGGGCGCGCCCCAGGAGTTCTTTCCTTCCGGATGGGCCCCCGTGGGTCCTTCGTTGGAGTCGCGGGGCTGATCCCAAGACCGTGCGGTGACGGACTGCGCGTTGAGGTCGTTGGGGGTTCCGAGGTCACCACGGCGTCTGTCACCACACGGTTTTGGGGGCCCGAAAAGTTGGCCACGGTTCGGGGGGCCCAAAGTTCAAGGAAGGACAAACATGCATAAAGGCGCGTGGGTTAGCGACAGGTCCCTTCACGATGCGCGAGTACAGGAGCCCTTGGAGGGGAGCGTTACGTGGGACGGCGATGGCAACGACGACGACGAGGACGATGAGCGAGACAGGGGAGAACCCGACGGCGGTTCCCTGGGCAGTGCTCCAATTGAGGCGGGTTGGCCGCACTTTCCGGCGGCCGTCCTATGGTTTCCTTTCTCACTCCTAATTGGTTTCGATTGCCTTACATCCTGACGGTCTCTTGGCTTCCTGTCGATTCCCCCCCTGGTTCTGGTTGTCTCTCTTTGTGGTGGTATCTTGACTTTAGGGCGTCTCCCCCCCACTGGCCCTAGGTATGGTAACTATCCGATGGCCTCCAGCTGGTTTTTGTTGGCCCCCATGGCTCCCACTTGGTCTGGTTGTCGCACCTCCTGGTGACCGAGTGGCTTCCCGTGGTTTCCACCTGCTGGCCATGTTGGTCACACTTGCGGTGGCCGCTTGCCTTCTTCTGGCGTCCTCTGATTTGCCTCGGCTCCCCCACGCCCTTTCTTCCTCCATCCATTTCCCCTTGCTCTCCACTCTTCTCAGGAGGGAAAAAACACAGACACAATTAATCGTCGATTCCCCAGAAAATCTGGGAAAATATGGGAAGTGTGGGGGAACAGAAAATATGGGAAATATGGGTAATCCAGTTATTTGTGTCTATTTTTTGTGTGTCCCAGGGCCCCTTCATCTTCGCCCTCCCTTTCTTAGTTGGCCTGGCTCTGATCAATCTGGCCAGTGCAGTCCCTTCGTCTGCAGCAGGTTCTGACGGCCGGAACTCCCACGAGTATGAACTTGTGCTGAGTTTCGCTCAAAAGCTGATGATGTTGCTGCTGATGATGTTGATGATGATGATGATGGTGATGATGATGACGATGATGATGATGATGATGATGATGATGATGAGGTGTTCAACATCCTGCACATCGTCCTTAGTGTCTTCATGACTTTAGATTTCAACCAGCGTGGATCCCAAACTGTCTGTTCCAGCATCATATGTGTTGCAATATCGTGTGGTGCAAGCTATGTGGCGCCATCCGTGGTGCAAACTATATGATGCAATACGTATGGTGCTATCTATGCTGTGCAATACATGTTGTTCAATATATGTGGTGCAAGCTGTGCAATGTAACACAAAGCAGTGCACAGCATTGCAAATCAATGCAAATCAGTGAACAGCAACGTAAATAAAGCAAAGCATATCAATGTAATGCACACTGAAACACATTAACGCAATGCACAGCAGTGCGATGCAAAGCAATGCACATTGACACAAAGCAATGCAAAGCAGTGCGATTGCAATGCCATGCGATTACAATACAGTGCAGCGCAATGCAATTGCAATGCAGTGCCCAGGCGACGGGCGGCGACGAAGCGGCGACGGGGCGGCGACAGGGCGTCGACGGCGGCCACATAACCGCCAGACTGGCACCGCCCCCCAGCTCCTCAGACCACAAGCAAGAACCCGTAAGAGTAAGCACTGATTGGGGAGAAACGGAATTCTCAACTCGTTCAGCCGGTTCCGTTCGGTTCGCTACGCTACTTTGAGTTCAGCGTTGCTGGGGCCTGGGCTTCCGAACATGTCTCGCAGCTGTGCAGGCCCAAGATCTTGGCCCAGCGCTCGCCGTGACCTTGAGCTTACAGAATGACGAAGGCCCCTGCAGGTTTGTGCCTGGCCCTCCTCTCAGCGTGCGCCCTCGCGGTGGAGGAGAACGGCTGCGATGCTGACGCGCATGGTCAGTGCTCCGACGAGTTTGCTGCTCTCCAGTCGCGCGCTCGTGCGAGGCAGAGCGCATTCATGCAGGAGCCCACCGACGTTCCGGCGTGCAGGGCGCTGACTGCGGGCGACCAGTGCCCCAGCTCCGTGGAGGGTATCAACACGGCCCTGACGTGCCAGTACAACGCGGCGTGCACTGTGCCTGGTGGACCCGTGGGCTGCTTCGGCGCCACCGGTTGCCAGTACTACGACGTCGACCCTTGCAAGGCCCTGGGTTCGTATCCTGCCGCGTGCCCCGCCGCCGTGGAGGGCATCAACACAGCGCTGCACTGCGTCTACAACGAGAAGTGCATCTCGCCTGGCGGCCCTGTGGGCTGTTGGGGTAGTACTGGTTGCCAGTACTACACGCCGCCGACCCCTGCGCTGATGCAGGACAGGATAGGAAAAGGCCGCGCCCAGACGAACTCCAAGTTAGGAAAAGGCCGTGCCGAAACAGCGCTGATGCAGGAGCCCACCGACGTTCCGGCGTGCAGGGCGCTGACTGCGGGCGACCAGTGCCCCAGCTCCGTGGAGGGTATCAACACGGCCCTGACGTGCCAGTACAACGCGGCGTGCACGCTGGACTGCGGCGCCACCGTACTACGACGTCGACCCTTGCAAGGCCCTGGGTTCCTATCCTGCCGCGTGCCCCGCCGCCGTGGAGGGCATCAACACAGCGCTGCACTGCGTCTACAACAACACGCCAGCTACACTGACCCCTGCGCTGATGCAGGAGCCACGTTAGGGCAACTGCGGGCGCAGTGCCCCAGCTCCGTCAACACGGCCCACAGTGTGCCTGGTGGACCCGTGGGCTGCTTCGGCGCCACCGGTTGCCAGTACTACGACGTCGACCCTTGCAAGGCCCTGGGTTCGTATCCTGCCGCGTGCCCCGCCGCCGTGGAGGGCATCAACACAGCGCTGCACTGCGTCTACAACGAGTAGTGCATCTCGCCTGGCGGCCCTGTGGGCTGTTGGGGTAGTACTGGTTGCCAGTACTACACGCCGCCGACCCCTGCGCTGATGCAGGAGCCCACCGACGTTCCGGCGTGCAGGGCGCTGACTGCGGGCGACCAGTGCCCCAGCTCCGTGGAGGGTATCAACACGGCCCTGACGTGCCAGTACAACGCGGCGTGCACTGTGCCTGGTGGACCCGTGGGCTGCTTCGGCGCCACCGGTTGTCAGTACTACGACGTCGACCCTTGCAAGGCCCTGGGTTCGTATCCTGCCGCGTGCCCCGCCGCCGTGGAGGGCATCAACACAGCGCTGCACTGCGTCTACAACGAGAAGTGCATCTCGCCTGGCGGCCCTGTGGGCTGTTGGGGTAGTACTGGTTGCCAGTACTACACTCCGCCGACCCCTGCGCTGATGCAGGAGCCCACCGACGTTCCGGCGTGCAGGGCGCTGACTGCGGGCGACCAGTGCCCCAGCTCCGTGGAGGGTATCAACACGGCCCTGACGTGCCAGTACAACGCGGCGTGCACTGTGCCTGGTGGACCCGTGGGCTGCTTCGGCGCCACCGGTTGCAGTACTACGACGTCGACCCTTGCAAGGCCCTGGGTTCGTATCCTGCCGCGTGCCCCGCCGCCGTGGAGGGCATCAACACAGCGCTGCACTGCGTCTACAACGAGTAGTGCATCTCGCCTGGCGGCCCTGTGGGCTGTTGGGGTAGTACTGGTTGCCAGTACTACACGCCGCCGACCCCTGCGCTGATGCAGGAGCCCACCGACGTTCCGGCGTGCAGGGCGCTGACTGCGGGCGACCAGTGCCCCAGCTCCGTGGAGGGTATCAACACGGCCCTGACGTGCCAGTACAACGCGGCGTGCACTGTGCCTGGTGGACCCGTGGGCTGCTTCGGCGCCACCGGTTGTACAGTCGACCGATCCTGCCGCGTCGCATCAACACAGCCTGCCTGCGCGAGAAGTGCATCTCGCCTGGCGGCCCTGTGGGCTGTTGGGGTAGTACTGGTTGCCAGTACTACACGCCGCCGACCCCTGCGCTGATGCAGGAGCCCACCGACGTTCCGGCGTGCAGGGCGCTGACTGCGGGCGACCAGTGCCCCAGCTCCGTGGAGGGTATCAACACGGCCCTGACGTGCCAGTACAAGCGGCGTGCACTGTGCCTGGTGGACCCGTGGGCTGCTTCGGCGCCACCGGTTGCCAGTACTACGACGTCGACCCTTGCAAGGCCCTGGGTTCGTATCCTGCCGCGTGCCCCGCCGCCGTGGAGGGCATCAACACAGCACTGCACTGCGTCTACAACCGAGAAGTGCATCTCGCCTGGCGGCCCTGTGGGGCTGTTGGGGTAGTACTGGTTGCCAGTACTACACGCCGCCGACCCCTGCGCTGATGCAGGAGCCCACCGACGTTCCGGCGTGCAGGGCGCTGACTGCGGGCGACCAGTGCCCCAGCTCCGTGGAGGGTATCAACACGGCCCTGACGTGCCAGTACAATGCGGCGTGCACTGTGCCTGGTGGACCCGTGGGCTGCTTCGGCGCCACCGGTTGCCAGTACTATGACGTCGACCCTTGCAAGGCCCTGGGTTCGTATCCTGCCGCGTGCCCCGCCGCCGTGGAGGGCATCAACACAGCGCTGCACTGCGTCTACAACGAGAAGTGCATCTCGCCTGGCGGCCCTGTGGGCTGTTGGGGTAGTACTGGTTGCCAGTACTACACGCCGCCGACCCCTGCGCTGATGCAGGAGCCCACCGACGTTCCGGCGTGCAGGGCGCTGACTGCGGGCGACCAGTGCCCCAGCTCCGTGGAGGGTATCAACACGGCCCTGACGTGCCAGTACAACGCGGCGTGCACTGTGCCTGGTGGACCCGTGGGCTGCTTCGGCGCCACCGGTTGCCAGTACTATGACGTCGACCCTTGCAAGGCCCTGGGTTCGTATCCTGCCGCGTGCCCCGCCGCCGTGGAGGGCATCAACACAGCGCTGCACTGCGTCTACAACGAGAAGTGCATCTCGCCTGGCGGCCCTGTGGGCTGTTGGGGTAGTACTGGTTGCCAGTACTACTCACCTTCACCTTGACAGCGTCAGGGTACTTGTTGTAATATCGAAGACGCCTGCGGCACGCTACCGCTGGCCCCTGTGGCTAAAAAGTGTGCCCTTCCTGGGGCATCGCGATCTTTGCGCTTCGGGGTTTCATGCGCTGGTCCGGTGGCCTCTTTTGCCGTCTCGACGACCTCCCATTTGGGCCGTCATCGGGCCCTCTTTTGGGCAGTCTTGGAGGTCTCGTGCGGGGCTCTGCGGCCCTTCTACGGCACTATTGCGAAGGCCTGACGGCCGGTGCCGCCGACCCTGTTCGCAATGCGCAGCAAGAGATTACGAGGTTGCTCAAGGTCGGCTTGGCTGGAGCCCAGGGGAAGAGGAGTCCCAGGGGGGGGCGTCGTATCTGACCCGGGGGGGGGGGTCGCTACCCCCCCCCCCCCCTCCCGGCGGGGGAGGGATCAAAGGGAAGGGGCTTCCCTTCGACTCAATTACGAGGTTGCTCAAGGTCGGCTTGGCTGGAGCCCAGGGGAAGAGGTCCCAGGGGGGGGCGTCGTATCTGGCTGTCGAGCGGCGGGGGAGGGATCAAAGGGAAGGGGGACTCATTACGAGGGAGGTCGGCTGGCCCAGGGGAAGAGGAGTCCCAGGGGGGGCGTCGTATCTGACCCGGGGGGGGGGTCGACACCCCCCCCCCCCCCCGGCGGGGAGGGATCAAAGGGAAGGGGCTTCCCTTCGACTCAATTACGAGGTTGCTCAAGGTCGGCTTGGCTGGAGCCCAGGGGAAGAGGAGTCCCAGGGGGGGCGTCGTATCTGACCCGGGGGGGGTCGCTACCCCCCCCCCCCTCCCGGCGGGGGAGGGATCAAAGGGAAGGGGCTTCCCTTCGACTCAATTACGAGGTTGCTCAAGGTCGGCTTGGCTGGAGCCCAGGGGAAGAGGAGTCCCAGGGGGGCGTCGTATCTGACCCGGGGGGGGTCCGACACCCCCCCCCCCCCGGGCGGGGAGGATCAAAGGGAAGGGGCTTCCCTTCGACTCAATTACGAGGTTGCTCAAGGTCGGCTTGGCTGGAGCCCAGGGGAAGAGGAGTCCCAGGGGGGGGCGTCGTATCTGACCCGGGGGGGGGGTCGACACCCCCCCCCCCCCTCCCGGCGGGGGAGGGATCAAAGGGAAGGGGCTTCCCTTCGACTCAATTACGAGGTTGCTCAAGGTCGGCTTGGCTGGAGCCCAGGGGTTGCTCAAGGTCGGCTTGGCTGGAGCCCAGGGGAAGAGGAGTCCCAGGGGGGGGCGTCGTATCTGACCCGGGGGGGGGGTCGACACCCCCCCCCCCTCCCGGCGGGGGAGGGATCAAAGGGAAGGGGCTTCCCTTCGACTCAATTACGAGGTTGCTCAAGGTCGGCTTGGCTGGAGCCCAGGGGAAGAGGAGTCCCAGGGGGGGGCGTCGTATCTGACCCGGGGGGGGGGTCGACCCCCCCCCCCCCCCCTCCTCCGGCGGGGAGGGATCAAAGGGAAGGGGCTTCCCTTCGACTCAATTACGAGGTTGCTCAAGTCGGCTTGGCTGGAGCCCAGGGGAAGAGGAGTCCCAGGGGGGGGCGTCGTATCTGACCCGGGGGGGGGGGTCGACAACACCCCCCCCCCCTTCCCGGCGGGGGAGGGATCAAAGGGAAGGGGCTTCCCTTCGCTCAATTGACGAGGTTGCTCAAGGTCGGTTTGGCTGGAGCCCTGGGAAGAGGAGTCCCAGGGGGGGGCGTCGTATCTGACCCGGGGGGGGGGTCGACACCCCCCCCCCCCCTCCCGGCGGGGAGGGATCAAAGGGAAGGGGCTTCCCTTCGACTCAATTACGAGGTTGCTCAAGGTCGGCTTGGCTGGAGCCCAGGGGAAGAGGTCTCCCAGGGAAAGGGAAGGACAGAGACGACGAGTACAAAGAATGACGGAGATGACGGCTCGAACGGAAAAGCCCCTCACACACGCCGACAGGGTCGGCGGATTGGTGCGTCTTGCGGTCTTCTCGGGCGGTCTTGGGGGCCTCTTTCTGTCGTGGGGGCTCTTGGTGCGTGGGGGCCTCCTCCTCCTCCTCCTCCTCCTCCTCCTCCTCCTCCTCCTCCTCCACCTCTTTCTGCCGTGGGGGCCTCTTTCTGTGGAGGTTCTCTTTGGCGTTGTTGGGGCCTTCACGGGCGGCCCTCGACCCCTGCGGTCGCCCTCTTGGGACGTCTTGAGGCCCTCTTGGAGCTGTCCTGTGCTATCTTAATAAGGCTCAGGCTATGCCCAGTCTGGGTGTGATTGCCAATATCCTCAGTAGGGGGTTCGTGTTATCAGTGTCACGCATCCGCTTCCTCACCTCACCTCCTCACCTCACCTCCTCCCCCTCCTCCCTCCACCTCTCATTGTCAGACGCTCTTGCAGTCAGACCCTCTCGCATTCGTTCACACTTACTCATACTCAGACTTACTTATACTCAGCACTCACACTGAGACTCAATCATACACAGACTCACTCACACCACACATCAATCACAGCCATATTGTCATTCAGACTTGACCCCCACACAGGTTCACTCATACTCAGACTCACTCACACACAGACTCACTGCAAGTCAGATCATTCATACCCAGACCACTCAAACGCAGACAAGCTCAAATTCTTACTCACTCATACTCCGACATGGTCATGCTCATCACTCAGAACTGCTCAAGCTCACTCTTACACAGAGCCCAGATGCAAATTATCATGTAAATGTGTAACAAGCGTGCCAGTTGGGCGTTACAAAGGGGGGAATCAGTGGTATTTCACATGAGGGGGCCGTGTAGCATTACGCTCCCCAACCCCCCCGGCGAATTCTCGGGGAAAATTCGCTTCATTTCCTATACCCACCCAGCATGCAGCCGGCGCGCCTCGCAGGGAAACATGGTTTTTTTCTTCACCACCCACCCTCCCTCCGCGGAACCAGAAAATTTGGGAATACGTTTTGGCATTGGTCGACGGCAATGTTTTCGACACGCACCCACTCTCCGCGGGCAAACAAAACTGCGGACTTCGATTCGCGTTGAGCATCATATTGCTGCCCCCACCCACCCGCCCACCGCCTTCCCGCCCCGCCCCCATGCGACATCCGCGGGCGGGCGGGCGGGCAGCCATGTCTGTCCATCATGAGGTGATCCCACCTGTCTTGATCTCCGTTCTGGTTCATTTTCAAAAATCGTTCGCCATCGCACCGTCGGCTTTGCTTGGCTGGCGCGGTGCATCCATCTATCTACACATACCCCCCCCCAGGCGCCGTCGCTCCGATGCGTCTGCGCCATGTCTGTCCATCTATCTGCCCCCCCGGGCGCCGTCGCACCCTCGGCTTGGCTTGAGTGGTGGCGTTCAGCTACCCATCAATCTGTTCCGCGCCCGGTCGCCGTCGCACGGACGCAGATTCGCATTCGTTTTTTTTGTTTTTTGTTTTTTTTCATTTGTTCTGCTCATCTGTCTACCCAGCCCCAGGCGCCGTCGCACCAGCCTGTCTGCGTTATGCTGCCATCAGCCGTCTGTCACCAAATACACGCGGTTTTCCCATCGGGCCTTCTTGTACGGGGCCCCAGATGGGAAATCACTGGGGGAAATGTTCGATGGATTGCGAAGGCCTGACGGCCGGTGCCGCCGACCCTGTTCGCAATGCGCAGCAAGAGGCACGGGCTGTGGGATGGTTTGGGGGAACGGGGAGAAGGACGAGAAGGTGGGGGAGGGAGGTGTCGTATCTGACCCGGGACTTCCCCGGGACTCCCCCGGGACCCCCCCCGGGACCTCCTCTCCCCCCCCCGTCGGGGAAGGGAAAGGGAAGGGCTTCCCTTCGACTCAATGACGACGTTGCTCAAGGTCGGTACGGGGGGGGGGCGTCGTATCTGACTCGGGACTCGCTAACCCCCCCCCGCTCCCGGCGGGGAGGAAATGAAAGGGAAGGGGCTTCCCTTCGACTCAATTACGAGGTCGGCTTGGCTGGAGCCCAGGGGAAGAGGAGGTGACCCGGCTACCCCCCCCCCTGGCGGGGGGAGGGAGGGGCTTCCCTTCGACTCATTCCTCAAGGTCGGCTTGGCTGGGGGAAGAGGAGTCCCAGGGGGGGGCGTCGTATCTGACCCCGGGGGGGGGGTCGCTACCCCCCCCCCTCCCCCCGGGGGGGGATGAAAGGGAAGGGGCTTCCCTTCGACTCAATTACGAGGTTGCTCAAGGTCGGCTTGGCTGGAGCCCAGGGGAAGAGGAGTCCCAGGGGGGGGCGTCGTATCTGACCCGGGGGGGGGGTCGCTACCCCCCCCCCCTCCCGGCGGGGGAGGGATCAAAGGGAAGGGGCTTCCCTTCGACTCAATTACGAGGTTGCTCAAGGTCGGCTTGGCTGGAGCCCAGGGGAAGAGGAGTCCCAGGGGGGGGCGTCGTATCTGACCCGGGGGGGTCGCTACCCCACCCCCCCTCCCGGCGGGGGAGGGATCAAAGGGAAGGGGCTTCCCTTCGACTCAATTACGAGGTTGCTCAAGGTCGGCTTGGCTGGAGCCCAGGGGAAGAGGAGTCCCAGGGGGGGCGTCGTATCTGACCCGGGGGGGGGGTCGCTACCCCCCCCCCTCCCGGCGGGGGAGGGATCAAAGGGAAGGGGCTTCCCTTCGACTCAATTACGAGGTTGCTCAAGGTCGGCTTGGCTGGAGCCCAGGGGAAGAGGAGTCCCAGGGGGGGGCGTCGTATCTGACCCGGGGGGGGGGTCGCTACCCCCCCCCCCCTCCCGGCGGGGGAGGGATCAAAGGGAAGGGGCTTCCCTTCGACTCAATTACGAGGTTGCTCAAGGTCGGCTTGGCTGGAGCCCAGGGGAAGAGGTCTCCCAGGGAAAGGGAAGGACAGAGACGACGAGTACAAAGAATGACGGAGATGACGGCTCGAACGGAAAAGCCCCTCACACACGCCGACAGGGTCGGCGGATTTTCCAGTATGGGCGCGCGCGGTCTCCCAGGAGGGCTGTATACAGGCGTTGCGGTGTGTACAGGCGCTGTTATGCACGCAGGCACTGAGGTGTACACTGGCACTGTGATGGATGCGGCCGCTGTGGGTACACGGG